AATGTTACAAAACATACCAGTCACACATGGTAAATTACCACATTCCAGAGATTCAGTTAATGTGGTATTTAAAGCACAATTTCCTTGGAGACATACTCTTGTACGAGTTTTTAATCCACCTCCACATTTTGCACTACATGGTGAATATTCTCCCCATTGACTGTAAACATTTGTAGAGTCAACTAAAATATAAATTTTATTTTAAGTCAAGTACTATAAGTATTATTCCTTAAAAATAATTATGTGTGTTTGATAAAATATGCTTACAAAATTTTTAAATAAATGATTTTATATTTTCTTTTATTCTTTTAAAGACTGTTAACTTTGAGAGAATTAATGAAAGAGGATTATAATATAAATCAGACTCAGTTGTACAAAGTAATTATTAAATGAATATTTAAGATTTGAATATTTGACAGAACAGAACAAATCATTTTGTACCTCTTAAGCTCTATCAACTATTTAACTAACCAAGTTAAACTATAAATTAATAAGTCAAATAAAATACAATTTTTTTTCTTACCTTAATTGCACTTATACCCTTCTTGCAACTAAAATTCTACAATGCAAATCAAGGCTGCTGGGTGGAAAACAAAGTTAAGTTATCTCTTGCTCTATTAAGCCTGAAATTCAAATCTTTTAACATTCTTTTTAAATTCTTTTAACACCATAAAATTAATTGACCTTGTCAGTTTAATTGTTTAGCATTGATGTAAAAAACTTTAAAAAACATCTATATTATTTCTGTGTTTGTATTATTTTGAACATTTCTATCCTATTGTCAATATGTAAAAAAATCTTAACTTGAACTTCACTATTATAGATTATAATTCCAGGACTTATTTGATTGCAATGTATAGATAATATAATGCTAAAATAATGATATTATCTTTATAAATATATAGTTATCTGATAACATAACTTTGTTAAATTACAGTGCAAAAAAAGTAAACACTTAATACACTATAATAATAGTGTGGTACCTTTCAATAAAGTAAACTTTATTGAAGGGTACCACACTATTATTATTACTATTATTATTATTATTTTTATTACTATTAATATTATTGCTATTATTATTATTATTATTATTATCATTATTATTATTATTATCATTATTATTATTATTATTATTGCTATTATTATTATTATTATTATTATTATTATTATTATTATTATTATTATTATTATTATTGAATTCGATTTTTTGAGCTGAAATCTAAAAAATTGTCACATTAAGAGGAAGATGTAAAATAATCAAATATTGCTAAAACTTATTCTGTTAAAACTCTTGTTAAAACTGGAAATAAAATATTTAATGTGACAGTTTCTCATTTCCAACCTCATCCATGCCACTTTTGCAATAAGAGCAAAATTTGTTTCAAGTTCTTGGATCATAAATCTAATCGGATCTACAATGCAAGCTAGTTGAACTATTTAAAATTTTAAAACTATTTCTTAGTTTTAAAACCAAGTATTCCTAATTAAAGGTTTTGAATAATATGAAAAAATATAACATACTTACATTTTAATTAAACTTCTTGAATAAGGATAATGCAAGCTCAACGCTATTATTATTACTATTATTATTAGACATAAAAATTGCTCGTTTTATCTATATGAGTGATTTTACATTTATCAGAGTTTCATTTGCATTCACACTTTATATATATATATATATATATATATATATATATATATATATATATATATATATATATATATATATACAGGTAAACTTTATTTTTAATTTTTATTAATTTAGAAGATTGGTAAATGTTTTAAAACTTTAATGAATTTTTTTTAATTGATAGATTGCCTGCCCAAACCTAGCCCTTGCAGCCTTCAATCATTGTCACATTGTCCTAATGTTACCTCTCTTAGTCTTTTCTATAAATACTAAAATGGGCACTGCTCTAAAGAGCTAGCTTCTTGAGCCATCTACTAAAATTCTTTTAAGTGTTAATTTCAATTAAGTCTTATCTTTTTACTGTGACTTTTCCTAAGTGCTCCAAAAACTTGTTGATGTAGCAGCACTCCTTGCATGCTCTACCTGTTTGTTAGCTGATGTATGTTAACAGTAAAAAAATCAAAATAAAAACATTCAAAATGATTTTATTTTTGTTAAAAAAATAAAAAACATTCCAGTCTACTAAACTGCGTTTTTATGGTTTTTTTAGAAACTATAAAATTTAATTAGTTTCCTTAATTAAATTCAACAGTTTTTACATAAAGTACACTTGATTTTGTCATTTAAATATATTAAGAGTCATTAAAAGCCAATTTTTACCACAAATGGTAAATTTAAAACCTTTACAAAATGGAATATATATATATATATATATATATATATATATATATATATATATATATATATATATATATATATATATATATATATATATATATATATATATATAAAAAGAGGGAGAAAGAAAGAGAGAGAGAACACAAATAACAAACCTTGTCTTCTTTCTCTAACCAAACTTGAACTTTCATGCAATATATTTGTATTTAAAATTTTGGCTTCATCATTTTTAAAATGGGTTAAAGTTAATTCATCAAGTTTGTTGGCAACAATTAGATCAATTTTATTTCTTAGATCCAATGGTATTCTGTTAATTAGTGCAGGATCTCTGAATATTCTATCTGAAGCTGAATTTTTTGTCTGGATAACAACAGCAAGCAATAATACTAAAAAATTTCAATAACTTCAAACTGATCAAATTAATAATAATTTGATTTCTTTTAAACTTACAATACATATATATACATACATATATATATATATATATATATATATATATATATATATATATATATATATATATATATATATATATATATATATATATATATATATATATATATATATATATATATATATATATATATATATATATATACATACATATAGATATCTATATATATATATATATATATATATATATATATATAATATATATATATATATATATATATATATATATATATATATATATATATATATATATATATATATATATATTTATATATATAATTTAAAAACATTCTATGCTTGATTAAAGAACTGAAAAAGGTGAAATCTAGGCAAAGAAAGATTGTTGGCATCCATCATATAGAAAGAACAGAAGATGATGACCAGATTGATGTGTGGTGAGGCTCAATAAAATAAGGAGAGAAATGAAAACAATAGACAGATATTTGGAATATTAGGTGTGGTAGATTATTAAAATATAGTGAGCCAGAAAAAAATAAGGTGGTTGGGTATAAAAAGTATACAGATCCATATAATCATGTAAAGAACTGACAGTTTTATGAGAAAAAAAGTTAATTCATCAAGTTTGTTGGCAACAATTAGATCAATTTTATTTCTTAGATCCAATGGTATTCTGTTAATTAGTGCAGGATCTCTGAATATTCTATCTGAAGCTGAATTTTTTGTCTGGATAACAACAGCAAGCAATAATACTAAAAAATTTCAATAACTTCAAACTGATCAAATTAATAATAATTTGATTTCTTTTAAACTTACAATACATATATATACATACATATATATATATATATATATATATATATATATATATATATATATATATATATATATATATATATATATATATATATATATATATATATATATATATATATATATATATATATATATATATATATATATATATATATATATATATATATATATATATATACATACATATATATATCTATATCTATATCTATATCTATATATATATATATATATATATATATATATATATATATATATATATATATATATATATATATATATATATATATATATATATATATAATTTAAAAACATTCTATGCTTGATTAAAGAACTGAAAAAGGTGAAATCTAGGCAAAGAAAGATTGTTGGCATCCATCATATAGAAAGAACAGAAGATGATGACCAGATTGATGTGTGGTGAGGCTCAATAAAATAAGGAGAGAAATGAAAACAATAGACAGATATTTGGAATATTAGGTGTGGTAGATTATTAAAATATAGTGAGCCAGAAAAAAATAAGGTGGTTGGGTATAAAAAGTATACAGATCCATATAATCATGTAAAGAACTGACAGTTTTATGAGAAAAAAAAGTAGTGGCAGTTGTAAAAAAACATTACAGATGACAAGAAAAAACTTCAGTTAAAGAAGATGATCAAGATTATGTATACTAGAGACAACATAATTAGGGTTAAACCCATTTTAACCAACCAATTAGGATTAAACAATAGTAATAAAAAATTTAGCAAAAGATATTTTATAATTTTTTTGTTTTTATGTTTTTGCTTTTATCCCTCTTTGCCCAACATTTTTATACATTTTTTCCTACTTTTTTTGTTACTAAAATGTTTTTATACTTGTTCTAAAGCCATCCTATCATTAAATGTTATCTATTTCATCTTTAAAGATAAAAAAATTAACTTAAAATTGGATTGCCACAATATTTAATCAAAACGAAGCATGCAAATTACAAAAAAAAAATTATTTTTCTTATAAATAACTAAACAATGTATCTAATTGCCTGACTCATAACTTTACTACATAACTTTATATAAATAACTTTATATAAATTTGAGACAACAGTAAAATTAAAACAAAAATAAGGTTCCCTAGCATATATTTTAACAAAATATTGAGATAAACTCTATATGTTAATTTCATAAAAAGATAATTATCAACTTCATAAAAAGACGCCATTGCACCAGAAATCTGATATCAATTTTTATTTTAGTTAAACTAATTGTTAGTTATTATTAGTATATTATTATTAATATATTATTATTAATCTTAAAAGATTCGACTAGTTTAGATTATTATTATTTTTTAGTTAATTTGATGTTATTATTTATTAAAAAGTGTATTTAAATAGGTTTTATTTATTTTTATCAATACAATAAATTTTAAAAATATCAAATATACAAAATTTAAGCTTCAAGTACCTTTATAATATGCTCTAAGGTTTTATAAATGTGGGAAAGACAGTTATAAAATTTTTTGGTCTTGACTTTTAGTCAATTTAATAGGCTATTTAGACTCTGAAGTCCAAAGCTCTAAATTAAAGTTATTTGTATATGATGTCAAATTTTTTTTGAACTAAAATAATACAACTGCTGTATGGATTGCTATCTAAGTTTTGTTAGCATTAAACAACTCAGGCATTCCTTATACTAGCAGTTCTAGTGTGTAATGTTGATATGTTTATAATTTTAAAACATAATGTCATTATATTACAAAAGTGTAAACATATCAACATTTCACACTAGAACTTCTAGTAGAAGCAGGTGAGCGAAAGATACTATGACTCAAAATGAAGTTTTGATTTTTAAAAAACGAAGACCAGATATATTACTGAATTCGGGAGAAATGTAGGAGAGTGCTTCTACATTGACTAATTTAGGGATAACATGCAAGGGAATGCTGCTACATTGACTGAGGGTTTGGGTTAAGACAGGTATAGATTAATCGATGTAGCAGCACTCTCCTACATATCTTCTCAAATCAGTAATATATGTGGTCTTCGTTTTTAAAAAAAATCACAACCTCATTTTGAGTCATAGTATCTTTCGCTTACCATGAAAACCATGAAAACATAGTATAAGCGATATATCATCAACTGACACTTGATTAAGAAAATATCTACTTCAATTAAACTTGATTTAAGTTTAATTGAAGTAGTTACTCTTATTATACTTAAAGTGTAAGCAAACAGTTTAAAAATCTAACTATTTGTTTCTATAGTGATTTAAAAAGCTGATAATGTATTTGATTCACGGGGTTAGGGGAGAATAGCATTTCTTAGTTAATTTCAATAAAAAACGGCTAAAATCAATCATCGTTTTAATCACGTGAATCAAATTCACCTCCGTCGATAACCTATCTTATTTTTATGGTTTTCAACTATTCAGCTAAACGTAACTGAAAATCACGACAAGAAAACCTCAGAAATTGAAATAAAAACTAAAAAAATAATTTCCTAATGTATTAATGTCAACTTTCCTTCCCTGGGTGGGGGCTGTTCAAATAATACGTGACAGTCTTAGGGGGGGGGGGGGAGGGAGTATTATAAAGTGTCACTAAATGTCACATGGGGGAGAGGGATGGTTTGCCTCAGTGTGACGTGACAAAAAACATTTTAAATTAAATTATTATTAGTTTATATTGCAAACTCGAAGGTATATATAATACTGATTTCGAGAAAAATTATATGCAACGACTTCACAAATAGCGACCATATTTTGTTTAACTGTCATTTATCAAAAATTTTTGTTTTTGTTAGATGATTGGATTTGATTAATTTATATTTACTCCGTACAAAATTATTTTTGTGGAAATTGTACACATAAAAAGAAATTCTAATCCTACGAACATAGAACTAGATAGTGGGCAAGTATCTAAAAACAATTTATATTACTATCAAAAATCATATTTTATTTTTTTAACACAATTTATATTAATAGACTAAAAAGTTAAGTGTTATTTTCGCTTAAAATTAGATCTTCGAATATAATACATAATCGATATTATTCAATTTTCAATGTTATTATTAGTATTAGTTTTAATATTTTGTGTCTCTCTATTGCAAATAATTGGTCTAATTACTTTATTATTTTATTATTACGTTATTATTTTATATTTATATTTTTATTATTCATTAAGTTAGTTAGATTGTTAACGAATTTTAGTATTAATAATGCTATTGTTATCATTAAATTACAATGTACTTGTTTTTAATTAATGGTTTTTAGGAAAATAAATTTATTTTCGTTGCACCAAAAAAGCTTGTGATTGAATCTAAAATCACTTTTGATGACTTGACTGATGCAACCCCATCAATTACAAATAGTGAAGACAGTGAAAAAGGCTTACAAGAAAACTCCAATTTGTTAAAAGTTTTAAAAAGACCTGCGCCAAAACAAGATCAGTTAAAGAATGAAATTTTTATTTTACAAAAAGATATTGCATATTTTACTGAAAAAAGAAATTGCAACTTGTTGTCACAAGAGGACCACCATATATTAAGACAAAAACAAAAGCTTTTGATAGAAAAAAACCGAGATCTTGTACTTCGTCAAAAAGCCACTGAACGTCAAACAGCAACCAGGCTAAAAAGAAAAAAAGCAATTGAAGCTTTAGATCCGGATATTAGAAAAGAGTTGTGTGGTATTAAAAATGCAGTATCAAAAGGTCAACCGCTAGCCTGTGATCAGGACAGTTTAATTAAATCTATTGTAGATATTGCCTTGAAAGGTTCTGCTTCTGATGATAGGAGATAAACTGAAATTGTTCGAACTGTAAAAACATTAGATGACTTGGTTGAAGAATTAAAAAATCATGGTTACAATCTCTCCAGATCATGAGTTTACTCAAGATTATTTCCAAGCAAATCATTGAGCATAGAAGGAAAAAGACATGTTAAAACTGCACCTGTTAGACTAATAAGAGCACAAAATTCTGAGCATAAATATCATGCAGACACAAAATTTGCCAAATCATCCATCAGTGCCCTTGAAGAACTTGCTGAAGTCCAAAAGAAGTGACCTTTCTTTCCCAGGATGATAAAGCTAGAGTGCCAATCGGATTGACAGCTGCAAACAAACAAGCACCAATCATGATGCATATGGTGTACAAGGTGACTTTAGCTGATCATGATTTTGTAATTGCTCCTTAACACAAACTTATTCCTTCAGTAATTGCAGCCATAGAAATCAAAAAAGATTGCACGGAAAAACAAGCAGTCACATACTCTGGCCCAACATACATAGCAATCAGAAGTGCAAAACATGATTCATCAACAGCACTTAGTCACTTAGAAGACATTAATAGAATCAACCATCTTCCTGCATTTGAAAGCAGCTTATTTACTGAAGATGGAGTTAGCAAACCAGTCATGATTATAACTGTTGATGGTGGGCCAGACGAAATCCAAGATATGAAAAAACAATTCATTGTGCCAAGACTTATTTCAAAGAGCATGACCTTGATGGCATGTTTGTGGCAACCAATGCTCCTGGCAGAAGTGTCTTTAACAGTAGAGAGAAGAATAGCTCCGCTAAGCCATGACCTTGCAGGAATTATACTATCATTTAATCATTTTGGAAGCCATCTTAATTCAAGAGGAGAAGCAACAGACAAACTTATGGAAAAGGCAAATTTTGCCAAAGCTGGCGAAGTTCTTGCACAAATTTGGTCCAGCACAGTCATTGATGGATTTGAAACTATTGCAGAGTACAAAGAACCAAGCAGTGAAAATCGTGTACAATTAAAGCAGTTTAGAGCAGAGTGGGATGCTAAACATGTCAAAGAAAGTCAATACTTGCTTCAAATTGTAAAATGTAATGATCAAAACTGCTGTGGTCATCGTTGCAGCTCACTGTTCCATCTTATTCCAACTGGTTTTCTTTCTCCACCAATTTCTTTGTTCCAAGGAGAAAATGGCCTTGAGTGCAATAATACAAAGAATAACTTTGCAAGCCTCTTTTTAAACTTATCACTAAGCAAATTATTTTTTCCCAAGACAATTACAAAAAAGTTTCCCAAAGGATTGCCATACGACTACTCATGTCCGAGCATTCAAAGTTCCTTACCAAAAAGAATTTGTACCAATTGTAGTCTGTATTTCGCCACTATCAAATCAATGAAACAGCACAAAACAGTTTGCTCAAGTATTGGATATCGAATGAGATTCAAAAAGTTAAAACTCATTGCCTAGTTGCTAAACGTCTATCTGAACTCATGTGTGTCTTTTTAAATTCAGAAAAAGAAACAATAGAATGGCATGATCAGGACGATGTTAATACCTCTGATCTCAACTGACCTTCAATAATTATTGAAGAGCATGGAACTCCAATACTTGAAGGTCAAAGTTCAATTTGGGAATAAATTTAGGACATGTTTATTATACAGAAACATGTCAATTATATTTTTTTTAATATGAACTTTTAAATAGACACTTGTGAAAATTCTAAACTTTTGTCTTTGTCACGTCACTCAGCGGTGGGGGTGGGGGAGTTTTTAAAAATGCCACAAAATGTCACATAAGGGAGGGGGTCTCTAAAAATGCCTAAAAAAATGTCACGTATTATTTGAACAGCCCCGTGGTATGTTTTTAGACACTATTGTTGTGGATTTTTTTTCTACTATGGCAAATTATAACTACTTAACGGTAACAACTCAAACAATTATAACTATTTAACTGTAATCCTGTAATCCTACAGTTAAGCGCCTTAAAAATTTTTTTTTCCACTTTTTGAAAACGGTGAAGGGTGTAAATATGCATATCAAAAAATTAATAATAATAAATAATAATTATAATTATTTACATGGTTATTTGTATATTTATGACAATTATAGTTATTATTATTAATAAAAAAACATTTAAAATAATAATAATAATATTTATAATAAATATTTTATGATATTTGTATATATTTTATGATATTTAAGTCTTTACAAACGAGAGCGCGAAAATAGAATTATTTTAGGCCGCTTAATTGTAATGGTTAGGGTTAGGGTTAGGGTAGGATTACCTTGTACTCTCGTTTATAGAGACTTTAAAAACATCATAAAGTATTTTTTTTTAGTTTTGTAATGATTATTGTAAAAAAAAAATTATTAATTTAAATTAATAATAACTACTATTACAGACCCGTAGCAACCGGTTGGGCAGCAGGTACATTTGTCCTCCCCCGCCCTCCCTAATAATTAAAAAAAAAAAATATTTTAAAGAAAAAATGGACTAAAAAAATGACTTAAAAAAAATGTCCTTAACACTATTTCGGGGAGTACTGTCCCCCCAATATAATTTTTGTCCCTACGGCCCTGTATTAATATAAATATACAAGTAACCACTATAAATAATAATTATCATTATCAAAAACGTTTATGATGTTTTGTAACTACAGCATATTCTTGTTTTTAAACTCTTATAACTTTGCCTAATTATTATACATTAATTTATATCAATTTATATCATTTATTTATATTAATTTATATCAAGAGGAAACTTATATATACATATATATATATATATATATATATATATATATATATATATATATATATATATATATATATATATATATATATATATATATATATATATATATATATATATATATATATATATATATATATATATATATATATAAAAGGTCCATTCACGTCGTGATGGTGTCAACCGGTGCGGGCCGCATCCCCTAGCGAGTGTTTACTAGATATTAATTTGTAAAAAATGAATTGAATAATTGGGGTATTAAAAATTTGGTGAACATTTTATTTTAATCAGTAATAGCAATGAAGAGTAATACAAAAAATGGTCAGAAACACAAATTGTACACAATATTTTTACCCTTTTTTTCTTTGATCCGGGGGTAAAGCTACAATTATTTTGTATATCTTGTTTAGTTAAAGTTATCTTTGTTTTGTTTAATAAAAAATTATTTTCTTTTATTATCTCATTTTATAAACATAGATAAACAGCTTTGGTTGGTATATTTAGGGATGCAGCCGCAAAAACAATAAATTTTCAAATCAACATTTAAAAAGTAGGGTGTGTCTCCTTACTTAAAATATATTTTTTCAATATATTAAAACTTTAAAAATATACCATAAATAAATAAACTTTTCTGTATATAATATTAATTAATAAATTAAATTTTTAATTAATATAAACATTAAATAAAATTCAAACACTTACTCAAGTTCTTCATGACTTGTTTTAGACTGTCCGATTGCAAATCACACAATCAATTAGAAAACAAAGTGGAATAACAAATCAAATGTCTCGGGAATATTAATGCAACTTGTTTTTGAGTAATAGCCACGATCTAAGAAGGTGTTAATTTCTGCTTTAACAACCATCTATTGTCTATATTTATACGTATGGCTCAAATTTTTTTATTCAAAATACTTTGCAATCAATTATCAATTGAAATATGCAGTTTAATTGACATTTGGGATTTGGTTTTGACTACTTTTTTATTTTATTGTTTATTTTTGTTTTTGTAATGCTCTCACACATTAGAAGAAACTTTATAAAATTCCTTTAATTTAATCCTAAATGTAAACGTATTAAAAAAAAAATTCATTTTAATTCTAAAGCTGATACAATAGCTGATTAATACTTATAATCAATAATTAATAAAAAATAAATTTAAACTGTCATATTTTGCATCATGAAAAGAAAATAATTGAAATATGAAACTTAAATTTATTTTTTTATTTTTTACACTTTATAACTTAACAACAAAAACTTTACAACTTAACATCAGAAATAAATTTTTATAAAAATAACATTACAAACAGAGCATAGAGAAGCTTGAGTAACTTCCATTGACAAATGCGTCTAAACCAAGTAATACAGTAACGCACATATCGCCAACAAGACAGTATATGTGCCAGAATGTTGTGAAACGGTTACATTCGTCTCCAAATCCTTATTTCAAATATACACGTTTTTTTTGTGCCTTTCCAAGTATACAAAACATAAGTTTTTTTTGTTAGTTTTTAAAAGACTTAGATTTTATGTACGTTTTTACATCAAAAAATACATTTTCTTTTTTCCTCCAAACATTTGTAGTTATATCTAATCTGGCATTGTTGCTTGTATTGAAAGTCTTAAGATAAATCTTTTCATTTGTCTAAGAAACGAAATGCAGCTGCATAAAAATGCTATTCCGCATTGCTCCTTTATTAGATCAATAGGTCTTCTTGAAATACCTAATGCAACACCACAAAAAAATTGAAATAAATATAAAACCGGTTTTATGCATTTTATATTTCATTAGCAAAATATATTTATTCAAATCATGTTTAACATCCTTTTCAGAAATAGATCTTGAAGGAGATGATAATCCAAATACTTAACCAGGAAAAATAAAAATATTGGGCCAACGTACAATAAACCATTACACCCCTTTAGATTAATAATATGAATTCATTCCATAATTGACTCCAGGATAGGGTCGATACGAGAAGCTGGTAAGCGGGAAAGTGTCTTTGGGTTTTTGCCGACTAAAAAAAAAGTTTTTCCCTCTTATTCCCAAATTTTCCAATTAGTGATAAATAGTCCAAGTCCTATTTTTCCAAATAAACCTATCTGAAAAAAGTTTCACATTTGCCCACTGAAGGTACAAAAAGGTCCCGATTTTCTGAACCCTTCTCATTCCAGACCGTTTAGGCCGACCTTACTCCAGATTAATAAGAAAGGCATCTAGTATGAGTAGAATTATCTTTTTTTCCAGTTATAAGAACTTATAGAATAGCTTATATTTTTGCCATTTGTTTAAAATTACTTGAAAATTTTTTATTTCCAATAGGGGACGTGTATTAAACTTGCGTACGCAGTAAGATTGTAGATCTACAACATGTTTTTTAAACTTAATTTTTTTAATTCTTATATTTTTAGTTTTATATTTTGTAAGATTAAGCAACATCTTGCACACGATTGAAAGAATTTTTATATATGATTTGTGGTTGAAACATTTGTCCATCGGAAGAAAAACATTAGGTAACAATGAGACTTTTTTCCCCTTTTGCAGAATCGCCAGAGTAAACATTAGAACTGCTTTTTATTTTTCAGTAAAAACTTTTTTAATTCCTTAATTTAGTTCCATGTTAGTTATGTCAAATAAAATACAATGTTATTTATGGCATGTTGAGATGCGCTTAATATTTGCTTTTTACAAAAAAGTGATAGATTTTAACAAAAAAAAAATCCTCAAAGCGGTTTGTCGAAACATTGGCTGCCGCTCTACTCAATGATTTTAGTTTTCTGAATGTTGCTAATCGGTCTAACATTTTAATCTAGAATGCACTAGGATAGCCATTTATGAGTTTAGGTTATAAATTTTTTCTTCTCAGCATTCCAAAGCCCTGTCTTATTGGATGATCAAGTTTTGGACAATTTATAAGCCGACCGGGTATTCATTTCTCCTTATCCTTTGTCGCACTTCAAACTCCTTCGTTTTAAACCCTCTTTTTTTTGCTTTGTTATCTATCAAATGCCTTTTCAAAGTAGTCTTGAGTACTTACTGTTTTTTTTTTTTTTTTTGATGCACACTAATCTTATAAGTTATCTATTTAAGAGTTAGTTTTAACATTTCAATAAGATATTTCTTATAAGTTTTATTAATCGCATTAGTCGAATGTTCTCCATTATTATACCACAACTATAAAGTTCAAAAATATAAAAACATTAAGTTTTTTTTTTGGGTAAACAAAAAAAGTTACAGCAATCATTAAACAAGTTATTTTAAACACTAGGGGAAAGCAGGGTATTGTGGACGAGCAGGGTATTGTGGACATCGTGGAGTAAGAACACTGTTAGGTGTTAAGAAATAAAATTTAAACTAAAATAACCAAGTGAAAAAATCACAGAGAAAACCTCGAGATGTGCTTTCTCCACTTTTGTACTTCTCGTGCGACCAGGGTTTACATTTGTAACACATAATCCAGTCTTCTGAGGGCGGGTTATGATTTTTTTTTATCACAAATTGAACAATAACAATCGTTTTCTTTATTACTACTGCTTTTTTTCTTTTTGGTACATGATCAGCCTCAAATTGATTTGAAGTATATCTTTCTTTGTAACTTTGTTTATGCGTTTTTGTTGTTTTGTTTCCGTGAATCCTACCATGAGTCAAGCCAGCACTAATGGAGATAATTTTTTGAGGTCAAGTTAAGGGAACTGGAAATTATTTTCGCCACACAATCCCCTAATGAACCTTGTCAACAAAAGCAGGTAAATGCTGTTTTACTGGCCCTATGATCAATTTATTTTGAAAGTTACTTTGCTTTTGCAATTTTTTTTCAAATGCATTAATTTTTATTAAGTACTTATTCGTTATCATTACTCAACATGTAATATTTATGCAGGTGTTGAAACAAAAGTACACTTTATTGATAAACATGGCAGGTCCAAAGCGGATAATAAGGCCCACAAAAATCCTTGGTCTTTCACCAACTTCAGTCACCCAACCCAGTACCTCAACAGCTCCAGTCGATCAACTTGAAATGAATCTTAATGCAAGTTTCAATGATTTAATGCCGAGTCCTGCTAAAAAGAAAAATATGGCTATGGTCGGTCGAAAAAAAAGTTTCAACTATGTTGCTAAAGCCCTGACGAAAGAAGATTTTCAATCTTCCACTTCTAAAGCTGTTAAAAAAAAGAATAAAGGAAAATCAAATTTTTCTAAAGACCTGACGAAAGATGATTCTCATTCTTCCATTTCTAAAGCCGTTAATATAAATAATAAGGGCAAAGAAAAACCAAGTGCAAAAAAAAGTAAGTCTGTAAGTGTGGATGTAAATAATTGGTTTTGTTTGTTGTACCTGTAGAAAGTATGCGACAATGTTGTAAATATAAAGTATGGTACCATGAGGCGTGCATGGGGAATGATTCTGAAGATGAGGAAGAGTTAGTTTGTCCATTCTGTGAAGATTATTGTTTTTCTTTGCAACATTTCTGTATTAAATTTTTTAATTTTCTGTTGTTGTTCACTGGTGTATAAAAAAATGGTTCTTTTAAAGTATATGATGTGCAAGATTACTTATTATTTTATAAATGTGAGATAAACTATGCATTAAAAGAATGTTTCCAAACTTTTTTCTGGTTTTTATTTATTTATTTTTTGTATTTTTTACATGGGCCTTATTACCCCCCTAGGGGGTAATAAGGCCCACTTAAGGCATGTTAAAAAAACATGAATAACTTTTGTTGTAATTAAATTCTCAATATGAAGATTTCATTTTTACATCAAGGAATGAATAATCTTGAGGAGCAATCAAAAATATTTTTTTAAACTTACTTTTTAAGGCTTAAATGACCAAAAGTCTGTTAGGTGGGCCTTAATACCCATACCTACCTTATATTTAAATATATGCAAATCTAATATTTTTTTTTTATTTAAAAACAAAGAAACTTTATTTAATTTAAAATAAATCGCCTTATTCTACCTTTACATTTAGGGAGAATGAAATATGTCAACGCGTAATAATAATAATATATATATATATATATATATATATATATTCTTGTGATAATGTTGAGTTACTGAATGGTTCTGGAGGTTGAGTTGTCACTTCTGAGGCACTTTTAATTTGGCGAGTGATTGGGTGATATTAAACATTTGATTATACAAATTTCCAATATTTTATTTATAATGATATTAAAAGCTTAAGTTGAAACTTATCAATAAAAATTACAATTTACAAATTAAAATGTACATGTGCGATTTATAATGAAGAAGTCATAGCTGAAAAACTCAATTTTTTTTTTCTTGATTTTCTAGGTTGGCTTTTAAAATTCCAAAAAATGCTGCAAATTTCGAATCTTATTATATCATCCAACACATCTATGAAGGAAGTTATTGTAAAAATAACGGACTTCAGTCCAACGAACTGCTACTTTAAACAAAGCATAAAAAAAAACTGACTGCTAGTTTCTACATGGCATAGACTAGAGTCACAAGCAAAAAATATATGAAAGGAGACAAAAACAAATGTTGCATGTCTGTGGGTATCAAAGCATAAACGAGTCTTTTGGATAAATGAATCAGTTAGTCACAAATTGAAAACACTGAAAAAAACTTAAAATACTTTTCAAAAATTGTTTTCACCACAACTAAAAAAATATTTACAATCTCAAATCGTTTCTTTTAATATACTATGCCGCATAAAATCATCATCCGTATATATGCCACAATAAAATAAAAATTAATTTAAAAATAATTAAATGTATTTTTAGACGGAATTAATATTAAAAAAAAATTATTCTCAAGTTTTAAAGATAATAATAAAAGCAATAATTTAAACTTGAAAAATTCAATTTTTAATTGAAATAAATTTAACGTAGTTGAAAAAAAAAAGAGTCTAATAGGATCTGGATTTTGTAAATTGAAATAAATATTTATATAAAATAATGAAATCAAATATGTTTTAACAGATTTCTAGAAAATTGTACAAAAATGATAGAGATTTTAATAAATGTTATATAAAATAAATATAGTACATATATAATATATTTTGAAAAAATTTCAATACTTTAAAAAACTAAATTCTTAAAAATAAAGTTTTCTACCATTACCAAAGTAACAATCTTTTCCACAATTATCTGATGTTTTTAATGATTCTGGGATTTCAACTACGTTGAGTAGAGGAAAATCTAAAAATTTATTTATTATTAAAATTTATTAACACTTACTAAATTGTTAATCATACTATAAATTGTTATCCTATAAAAATTTTAGAAAACGCATTTTTGCATTGTGTACGAAATGGTAAACTTTAAAACTTTTTTAAAGTTTACCATTATTTTCTATAGTATAAACTATTTATAAAATTATGAAATATATTCAATTTTTCAATTAATTTTTTTATTTCAATTTTTTGTTTATTATTAAACTGAAATAGTACTGACGTGCTAAAGCAGCTTGTATTTATCTAAATAAAGTGTAAGCACAATTATATCTTGATAGATATAATTGTGATTATATTAAAGTATTAGATACACTTTAAAATATATAAACTTTGGTGTACATATACATATATACAAAACTGTAACTAGAGAATTTTCTATATAGCCGTTGCCAATAGCCTCCGCATTTTGAAAAAGGCGCCAACAAGAATTCGGAATAATTGTATGAATTTAAAATTATTAACAAAACACGCACAAAAATTTTTGCATCTTTACTTATATGCAGTAGTGATGTAAATTTTCCAGTAAAATTTGATTCAAAATTTACTGGTAAAATTTACGTGTAAATTTTAATTAGAGAACGGTAAATTTTCCTTTAAAAAATTTAAAAAAAAAGTAAGTGAAAAAAAATTTTGAAATTTACCAGGCGGTAAATTTTCAAAATTTTCCGGTAAATTTTACCTTCGCAACACTAATATGCAGTAATTTCTAGAAAATTATGTTTCAAAAATAAAACACTACTATGTCTTTTTTAATTCTCATTGAACTCCTCAAACAAATATTAAGAAAATACTGAGTGATATTTGCCTTCTTTGATGACTTAAAAATTTAAAAACTAACCATTTGTGATAAAATGCCTGCTAAATTCATATTACGTATAGCAAAGTGAAAATCTTTAAGCTATATATTATCTATTTAAGTAAATGATGTTTAATATAGCCTGAGGATAATAATTTTGTTGCTCGTTAAATTAATTATTGTAGATTATAAGTTTATAATTTCTAATCGCGCAAGATGAAAACTGACAGAGTAGAAAACTTTGTGGCTCAAGAGTGTTTAAAAAAATCAATTTATAGTATTTATGTGGATGAAACATAATGTAACTTATTAAGAAAATTTTTAAAAATTAACTTCACCAGCCAACAATATTATTGCCAATAATAAAGCTGCGGTAATGCGTTAGTAGACTACACTATTTCAAAATGTAATTGAGAACAAGAAAGTTGTAATTAAGAAATTTTAATATGTAATTGAGAAACACAAAATGTAATTAAGAAATCGTAATTTATAATTGAGAATACATAAATTGTAATTGCGAATGCACAATATAAAATTATAAGTTATTATAAAAGATCTTTTTGGATACGAACTTAAATTAATTAATAATATAAAGTTTAGCATTCGCATGCATTAGTAATAATTAATGGAATGTAATCGTTGTGTTAATGTCAAAGTACACAATGACCCGAAAGTTTATTATCAAATTAAATCAATCTCAACATTTATTTAACCAAATTTGCTTTATTTAACCAAACTTGTCTAATTAATTTTTTGTTATAATTAATAATTGGTCAGCATGAAATACATAAAACCAAAAAATATGAGAGAAAACATGTTTTATCTTTATTAAATGTCGGAAGAAGAGTTATTGAATGTGCTAAGCGAAATGACAATTGAGTACTGTGGGGTAAACCTTAGGTTTACCCCACAGGTGTCGAATATAGGACAGTATACAATTGGGTTCACAGCGGAAATTCAAATTTTTTCGGAAAAGGTGGTTTTTAAGCCAAAAATTGACTGAAAATCAAATTGAAGACTTATTAAAGAAAATTTAATATAAGCGCCAGTACAACAACAACCATTCCTCAAAGGCAGATAGTTTTCATTAAAAAAAGTGCACAAGGAACTCTTTACAATAAACAGTAATATATATATATATATATATATATATACATATAAAAGAGCCGTATATGTTAGGAACATCAATGAATATATCATAAATGGTTGCAAGCCTGGTTAGATGAAACAAATAACCTTTTTTAGACACACTAGACAAGGAAGAAGAGCAAAAATAAAAACACCTGCTTTAAAAGGTTCAAACTAACATTTGATTGCACAATAATTAAAAAAAAAAAATTTACATCTTCGCTTCTAACAAGGCTGCAAGCAACCACTATAAGAGTTTTTTTTTTTAAACATCTTTGCTTCCAACAAGCCTGCAAGCAACCACTAATTAGTGTTGGAAGTTACTGGAAGAGAAAAGATGAAGATTGTAGAGCAAAACAACGATTGACAAACGACTTAAAAGATTGTAAACTATATGAATCAGGAAACATGATAAAGGAAGCGAATTCCAAAGACCTGATGTTCGAGGGAAAAAACTAGACGAATAAGAGTTTTTGGAGTACTTAGAAACAGTAACAGAAAAAGGATGAGACTTAATTAAATGATGAGTAACACGAGAATGAATTTTTGTAGATGACACAAGAGACGCTAGCTCTTTAGAGCAGTGCTTATTATATTATTTGTAGAAATGAAAAAGAGAAGCAACATTACGACGATATGACAAAGGTTGAAGGTTGGCTGCAAGAGCAGGTCCAGCTATGTTTACAATACATTATTGCACCTTGTCTAAAAGAGAAAGGGCATCATTAGAAGATCCGCCCCAGATATGGCAACAGTATTCCATACAAGGACGGATTTGCGATTTATAGAGATAGAGAATAGCATCCAGAGTAAGAAAGTGAAAATATCTGGAAGATCGTTAATGTAAATTAAAAAAAGTATAGGGCCAAGGATTGAACCTTGAGAAACCCCTGAGGTTACAGAAAAAGAAGAGTGCTGTACATCAAAGACAACTTTTATACTACGATTGCTTACGATAAGCTTATGTAAAAGACTAGCATGCCAAACTTTATCAAACGCTTTAGAAATGTCAAGAGCGATGGCCTTAACCTCTCCACCTTTATCTAATGCGCGATAAAACCTATCGGTTATTACTGTTAGTAAATCAGCCATAGAACGAGAAGATTGAAATCCATATTGATGATCAGAAAGCAAGTTATTAGATTCAAGATAAAAGATAAAGTGGTTTTAATTAAAGATTCAAAAACCTTGCTTATGATAGGAAGAAGACTAATGGGACAGTAGTTAGATGAATCAGATCGCTCTTCAGAATTTTTAAAAATAGGGATAACAGATGCTGCTTTCCAGCATGCTGGAAAACAAGACTGATAAGCACTTGTTAAATAGTTTTGAAAGGATAGACGACAGCTCCCAAAAACACTTCTGCAAAACTATAACAGATATGTTGTCCAGGCCGCAAGTTGTAGAAGAGTCTAAGCAGGAAATCAATTTAGATACAGAAGCTGGAGTGATACGGATGTTGAGCAGTGGATCAACCTGTTTGACGGCTATATCAGGTAGAACGCAACTAGTGGAATCAAGAGATGATATTGATGAAAAGTTCTTGGCAAACAATTCAGCTTTGTCTTTAGGTGAGGCGACAAAGTCTGAACCGTACAAAAGAGGTGGAATTACAGACTTGCCCTTATTATTGATACTATTAAAGATTCTCCAGAAGTCACGAGAGCCTAATTTTTGAGATGAAATAGAGATTTCATGATCTGAGAATAGTGGGCTTTGGCATTAGATAAAACCTTTTTACAATTGTTCCTAGCAGTAATAAACAGACGTCTGTTTTCTAGAGAATTGTTTTGCTGATAGATATGGAAGTAATGGTTTCGATTGGCAATTGCAGCAGTAAAATGTGAGGAAAACCATTGAAACGAGTGAGGATTGACCTGGAATCTCCAAGAGGGAATAAAGGATTCCATGCCAGCCTGAATCCACGAAGTTATGTGAGAAGCACATTTGTCAACAGGGAGACGAAAGATTTCTACCTAAGGGCCATCACGAAGAAAATCAGGGAAAGAGTCCCAGTCAGCTTTAAGGTAGTTGTAAGATGTGCAATGATAGGGGGAGTCTGACAATAAAGAAGAATGAGATAATAGTTTTAGTGAGATCAAACTGTGATCAGCGACACCTAAGGGTGAATGTGGAGAAACTGAGCACTGACTAGGATCAGAAACAAGATACAAGTCGAGTAGAGAAAGTAAATGATTTGGGTTGTCTGGAAAGCAAGTTGGAAAGTTGACTATTTGAGTTAGGGATTGAGAAAGGCGAAAGTTGTGGGCTTTAATGCCTGCAGAGTCACTGACACTAGAGCCAAGCCATTCAGTGTGATGAACATTAAAGTCACCGACAACAACAATATTGGCTGATAGATAAAGAGAGAGAGGGCTTGGTCAATATGATCAGAAATAACATCAAGAAGAGTGCAGTCTTGAGATGAAGGAGAGCAATATAGAACAAAGAGAAAGGTGATAGAGTGAAGTGGTGCTAAACGAAAGCAACTAAAAGAGTAGTCTGTGGATTCAAACCTAGTTTCCCGACAAATGGGTGAATTCTTACAATGATATACGGTTTCCAAGAAAAAAAAGAAGAGTTAATCCTAGAAGATGAAGGGTAGATGACTCATCGAGTACATTACCGTTCATAAAGATAGGAAGATCTAAATTATTGCGATAACAATTGGCTAAAAAAAATTCAGTTTTATCTGAATTAAAGTTCACCAGCCACTGTGAGCCCCATACTGTAGCAGAAGTGAGATCCTTTTCAAGCTCAAATGCCCCCTCCAAGCAATCAGAGAGTGTTGACTTCTTATCATGACAAGAATAAATGGTAGTATCATCAGTGAACAATGCCACCTTAGATGAGAGAATATCTGAAAAATCGTTAATGTAGATTAAAAAGAGTATAGGGCCAAGGATTAAACCTTAAGAAATCCCTGAAGTTACAGGATATGAATAAGACTGCTGTCCATCAAGGACAACTTTTTTACTATCATTAGAAAGGAAGGATTCAACAATCTTAAAGATGTTACCAGATACACCATAAGAAGAAAGTTTATGGAGAAGGACCAGCATGCCAAACTTTATCAAAAGCTTCAGAAATATCAAGAGTGATATCCTTAACCTTTCCATCTCTATCTAATGCACAATAAAACCTATTGGGTATTACTGTCAGCAAATCAGCTTTAGAACGAGAAGATCCAAATCCATAATGATGATCAGAAAGTAAGTTATTAGATTCAAGATAGGAGATTAAGTGTTTGTTAATTGAAGATTCATAAACCTTGCTTATGATAGGAAGAAGATTAATGGGATGGTAGTTAGACGAGTTAGATTGCTATCCAGAATTTTTGAAAAAAGAGATAACCAATGCCGCTTTCCAGCATTTCGGAAAACAAGACTCTAATAAGCACTTGTTAAATAGTTTTGAAAGTATGGATGACAGCTACGGAGAATACTTCTGCAAGAAGAAAATAACATAAATCTAATTTATATAAAAGTGAACATTTGAGGTTTTCATTCCAAGGTCTTCAATTGTTGTCATAATAGAAACTTGCAAAGGATCATTTTATGCAGATTCATGTAAGGAGTGGATGTTGGCTATTTTCACCAGTGGGTTACATTCAAGTATCATTTAGAGGATTTGGTCGCTGTAGCAGACAACCCTCACACTCGTTTGGAAAGGGTGTTTAAAAACTCACCAGATGAGTTGTTCCATTTAGGGCCCTACAGCTCAATATAAAACCTCGAGGAAACAACTTGGTCCAAAGTTAAAAGAAATGTAAAAAATGGAAATCGCATTCCACCTGTATTAGGTGCTGGGTATTGTGGAACAATAAATGCAATATTTAGAAAGTATTGTTACTGTGGCAAAAAATGTAACAATGGGTGGTTATTGTGCATGTGCTGTACAACATACGACCACACATTGAGAAATGATTTTAAAGTTGTAAGACGCTCATGTTGATGTTTAATTGAACATTGCAGTGATTTTTAATAATATTATTTTAATTTAATTTAAATCTTATATTTTTTTGTAAAAAAATTATGTTATATTTATTATTCACCTGAATTCTTAATTGGACTAAAAAAATGACAATTCCAATTGACAATGGTTTTTTTCCAGTTTCTACACGTTGCTAAAAGTTTTTATTACTTTTATCATTTTTATTATAATTTTATTGATAATATATAATTATTTATTAAAACCAACCCATCAGTCAACTTGGCAAAAGGCGGATCCAGCCTTAAATTACCAAGTAAATTAAGGCTAAAAAATTAAAAATTCAAAGAACTTTGTTCTTGGTATCCATATTGTAAACAATTATCATGTTCTCAATTACATCTTACATATCATTAA